CTCCGAGTACTCTGAGCCCCCTCCTTACTCACTCCGAGTACTCTGAGCCCCTCCTCACTCACTCCAGGTACTCTGAGCCCCTCCTCACTCACTCCAGGTACTCTGAACCCCCCCTCACTGCAGGTACTCTGACACTAGTTCTGGAGATGAATGAGATGTGACCCCTGCCCCCAAAGGCAGTTAATCCTCTAGGGAAGACAAGATACATGTACACAGGAAACAATTAGAGAGCAATTAAGTGTCAAGCCAGGTCTTTCTGTTGTGAAGGGCAGTAAGAGCTCAGAGAAGAGGAAGGCTTCCTGGAGCAGGTGGCCTTGTGCTAGGCTGGGCCAGGCAGGATGAGCAGGGCTTAGAGAGGTGGGGCAGAGCATTCCTGGCTAGAGCAGCCACTGGAAGGCAGCGGGTAGGGGGGGGGAGCGGCCAGCTGTGGGAGCAGTGAGAAGACTGGTCTGACAGGGGCTGGGAGGCCAGGCTGGCTAGTGGCGGCCAGTCCTTGAAGGGTCGTGAAAGGTGAGCAGAGGAGTTTGGACTTGAATCCACCCGAGGTAATAGGAAAGGCTTTCCATCTGGGGAGTAACACAATGGAAGTACTGTTTTAGGAAGACGACAGTGGTATGCAGGATGGATTGGTGGGAAAAGCGTCCAGAGGCAGGCAGCCCAGCTGGGAGGCTATTGCATGAAGGCCTGGACAAGGTCAGGGGCAGTGGCAATGCGGGGAGGGGACGTATCTGAGAGAGGTTTGATGTGATGAGAGGTGAGGGAGAAGGAAGAGTAAGAGCCGAATCCTAGGTTTCTAGCCTTTATGATCACTAGGTGTTCTCACGTTGGCGAGCGGGTAGGGCTGTAGCAGAGAGGAGTATGGGGCCAGCTTGCAGGGAGGTTGCTGAATGTGCTGCTATCACGGGGGAGATTCTCGGGCTGGGGGTGTCCCAGAGCCTGAGTGTCAGGCTTGAGGGGTTCCCTCACAGTTCCTGGCCTGAAGCTCTGCTTCTCCTCATGCCCCCTCTTCTGCCTCTAGTCACTCCTGGAATGAAGGTTTACATCGACCCTTTTACCTACGAGGACCCTAACGAGGCTGTGCGGGAGTTTGCCAAGGAGATAGACGTGTCGTGCGTCAAGATTGAGGAGGTGATCGGAGCTGGTGAGTCCCCTGGGGCACAGTGGGGGTGATAGGCTGGGGGCTCCCCAGGGGAGGGCTGAGGCGGGCTGGGTGCAGGGGCAGTACCCAGAAAAAGCTTCTGTCCTGCGCTCTGCAGGAGAGTTTGGGGAGGTGTGCCGGGGGCGACTGAAACAGCCCGGTCGCCGGGAGGTGTTTGTGGCCATCAAGACGCTGAAGGTGGGCTACACCGAGAGGCAGCGGCGGGACTTCTTGAGTGAGGCCTCCATCATGGGTCAGTTTGACCATCCCAACATCATCCGGCTGGAGGGCGTGGTCACCAAAAGTCGGCCAGTGATGATCCTCACGGAGTTCATGGAGAACTGCGCTCTGGACTCCTTCCTCCGGGTAAGAGCCAGCCCCAACCAGTCACCCTCCCCCAGAGAGCAGGGTTGGGCCAGCCACTGCCCCCACGCGTCAGATCGACCCTCTCCAAGTCCACAGATGTTTTACTGAGGGGGCATGGTCCAGGGAAACAGCCAGCCCTTCAGAGCCAGGGTTCACATCCTGACTCTGCCCCTTACTGCCTGTGCAACCTCAGGCAAGTTACTTAACCTCTCTGAGTCTCAGCTGCCTTGATGTAAAACGCAAGTGGTAAGAGCTAATGGCTCTTCGTGAGGATGAATTGAGATGTTGTATACAAAATGGAGCCCTGGTGGCACAGTGGTTAAGAGCTTAGCTGCTAACCAAAGGGTCGGCAGTTCGAATCCCCCAGCCGCTCCTTGGAAACCCTATGGAACAATTCTACCTGCCCTATAGGGTCGCTGTGAGTTAGAATCTACTCGACAGCAACGGGTTTGGTTTTGGTTTTACAACATGCCTGGTACATAGTAGGGCAGATTACTTACTCTCAGTAGACCCTGGACACAGTTGCAGGGATAGATGAGGCATGCTCTCTGTCCTCTGTCTCTGAGGAGAGGGTGGGCAGGCCGGCCATGGCAGGCCCTCGGCCAGGAGGGAGAGGATTGGCCCACGAGCCTGCTGGTTGCCTGCAGCTCAACGACGGACAGTTCACGGTCATCCAGCTGGTGGGCATGTTGCGGGGCATTGCTGCCGGCATGAAGTACCTGTCCGAGATGAACTACGTGCACCGCGACCTGGCTGCCCGCAACATCCTTGTCAACAGCAACCTGGTCTGCAAAGTCTCCGACTTTGGCCTCTCCCGCTTTCTGGAGGACGACCCCTCCGACCCCACCTACACCAGCTCCCTGGTACAAGAAGTAGCCGGGAGGGAGACTGGGGGTGGGGCCAGCCCGCCCGGGGCTTGGGGCTGGGGACCAGCCCCGAGTCACCGGGTGAAGGGAGTGTGCCCCCCACACCAGGGCGGGAAGATCCCCATCCGCTGGACCGCCCCTGAGGCCATAGCCTATCGGAAGTTCACTTCTGCTAGTGATGTCTGGAGCTACGGAATCGTCATGTGGGAAGTCATGAGCTACGGAGAGAGGCCGTACTGGGACATGAGCAACCAGGATGTGAGTGGCGCCCAGCCAGAGGGCTCGGTAGGTGGGAGCTGGCTGGGGGAGCCGAGTGGTGGCTTACTCTGCTTCCCTGCCCTCGGCCAGGTCATCAACGCTGTGGAGCAGGATTACCGGCTGCCCCCACCCATGGACTGCCCCACAGCGCTACACCAGCTCATGCTGGACTGCTGGGTACGGGACCGGAACCTTCGGCCCAAGTTCTCCCAGATCGTCAACACCCTGGACAAGCTCATCCGCAACGCCGCCAGCCTCAAGGTCATCGCCACTGCCCAGTCTGGGTCAGTACCTCTGTCTGTTCTCCCTCCCTGCTCTGGAGCCAGCAGCCCTGCCCTGTTCCCCCACCCTCAGGACTCACCAGCTCCCTCTGTCCTCCCCACAGCTTGTCACAGCCCCTCCTGGACCGCACGGTCCCAGATTACACAACCTTCACAACAGTGGGCGACTGGCTGGACGCCATCAAGATGGGACGGTACAAAGACAGCTTCGTCAGTGCGGGGTTCGCGTCCTTCGACCTGGTGGCCCAGATGACTGCAGAGTGAGTGTGCCTCAGGGGCAGGGCGTGGGCTCTGGCCTGGGGCCAGAGGAGTGGGGCAGAAGGAGAGGGCCTGACCCTGCCCTTGGTCCCTCCTGCAGAGACCTGCTCCGGATCGGGGTCACCTTGGCAGGACACCAGAAGAAGATCCTCAGCAGTATCCAGGACATGCGGCTGCAGATGAACCAGACTCTGCCTGTGCAGGTCTGACACCCGACTCCTCCGCGGTGGGCGCCCCCCAGGGAGCGCACACAGACTGACCAGCCGGCTGGACTTTCGGACTTTTGGATGCCTGGGTTTAGGCTGTGGCCGGAAGATGGAAGTTTGGGGAGAGCCCCAACTGGGACTTCTCCAGGCCTGTGCTCCCTCCCCAGGAAGTGTGCCCCAAACCTCTTCATATTGAAGATGGATTAGGAGAGGGGGTGATGATCCCTCCCCAGACCTTTTGGGGCCCAGGTCTTTCTGCTCTCCAGTGGGGGATCCCCACAAACGCAGACTTTGCCATGCTTCAGTGCTGGAGGTCCTGGCGGGCTCAGTGAGGGGCCGGGGGTAAGCCTGGGTTCTACAGGGCCCACCCCTGGCTGGGGTCTGTCCCACCCTCAGGAACTGGAGGAGGGGACTCCAGGAATGGGGAAATGTGACACTTCTACCCCAAAGCCAGCTGGCAGCTCCAGTTTGCACAGGGACTGTTGTTCTGGGGGCCGAGGGCCCTGCCCCCACCCCCTGCCCTTGGTGCTGTCATAAAAAGGGCAGGCAGGGGCAGGTGACTAGTAGCCCCTTGCCCCCAGAGACTCTCAGAGCCAGAGATCGGATGTGTGTGTGAGTGTGCGTGTGTGTGTGACTAAGTGTGCACGCACTAGCCTGCACAGAGTGTGGGTGGGCGTGTAAAAGCTCGGCCCTGTGCCCTGCAGCGGGGCAGCTGGGTCTTCAGCGGAATAAAGGCAATAAAAGATTCTCTGACCCCGTCTCATTCTGCCTCCCAAGGCAGGCTTCCCTGAGTGTCAGGTTCAGAGCCCTGCCCCCCCCCCCTTCAGAACTCCCAGGAATCACTGGGAGACAAAATCCAGGCCTAGCCAGGCTCAACTTACCTTTTGTGCTGTGGCCTCATTTCTCTGAGCATCTAACAAACTTCCGGGAAGTGGGGCAACCCCAGGGCAGAGCCAGCTAGCCCAGAGCGCCTTCCTTGGGCCTGGGGGGCCAGGTGGTGGGGTGCAGACACTTAAGGCTCCTAACAGCCAGTCCTTTCCCACCAAATGTCTCAGAGGAGAGGGCCTTGGTCAGTTTCCAGGGTCATGTGGCCAAGGACAAAGGGGATGAGAGCCCACTAGTGTTGAGATGTGTTCAGTGGGGGCGGCCGGCTCCTTCAGCGAACGCCAGCCCGGAAGAGTGGCTGTTCTACTGAGCGCTTACTATGCTCCAGGCACTGGGCTAAACGCTCCACTTATAGGAGGAGCTTACTTAATCTCACAACAACCCAGCCAGAGAAGGAAGTATTTTTATCTCCTTTTTACAGAGGAAAAGGAGAGAGGTTAAGTAACTTACCCGAAGTCCCTGAGCCCATATGTGAGGCCTGGGACTGGAATTCCCACTGACGCTTCCTGCACATTTGAAAGATTCCCGGGGCGGGGGGTGGGGGGCGGTGATAAATAACAAGAACCAGGGAGAGAGGGTTAGCAAAACAGCTTCTGGAAATGTCACAGGAGGAAGCCTGGGAGGTGGCTCAGAGGCCGCGTGGACGCAGTGACGGGGGTGGGGTGGGGCGGGGAATGGGGGGGAGGCAGCGCAGTTGTTGGAATTCCAAGTGTGTACGAGGGCCCTTGAGCCATAAACCTTTGCAGGGCAGGGAACAGGTTTTCAAGGTATCTGCATATTCGGAGCTAGAGAGGGGTCGTTGGGAGGGACCCGCAGGGGGAGGGGCGTGAACAACTTGCTCCATGGACCTCGAGCTTCACCTGTCGCGGTCCCTCGCATCTCCTGGGCGTTTCCAGGCAGAGCAGAGCTTCGTAGGGGAATTCTAAAGAATGGGACAGGAGGAGGTAGCTGGGGGCTGGCGGCATCTGCTGACCAGGAAGCAAGGGGAAGCTATTTCGGGAGCAGGACAAGGCCCAGTGAGGTTGGGCCGGGGACGAGCGGCCAGGGGCGCGGCGCAGGCTCCCGAGGCCGCCCCCGCCCTCCGCGGCGCCCCCTCTCCTTGATATTCCCCCCACGGAGCCGAGCGCGCTGCAGCAGCGGGGCCCGGGGGAGGAGGATGGGGACTGAGGGCGGGGGGGGGGGGGCGACAGTGCGCTGGCCCAGGCGCCGGAGCTGTCAACAGCGGGAGGTGCTGCGGGCGGCCAGGGAGGGGCGGGGGCGGAGAGGGGTCCTGAGCGCTTGGCGCCGCATTCCCAGCTGAGAGCTCAGATAAAGGAGAGGGGCGCTCCAAGCTACTCAGGTGTCCACCTCCTGGTCTTAGGTCTCAGGGGTGGGGAAGGGTCCGTGGTCCTTGTCTCCTGGGGTGACCCCCTCATTATCTTATCCTAACACTCTGACCATCTTAGCGAGTCTAGGCCCAGATGCTGGGATGGGGGCTCCCCCGGAAGAGGTGAGATATCGCCCCCTGCTGGGTCCGCCAGGAGGGCGGGATTGTGGACGTTGAGCACCAAGGAAGGAGCAGGGGCCTGGAGTGCCCCATAATGAGGGGGCACTTGGTGTGTGCACCCCAAGCCGAGAATCTCCAGGGACGTCTTGAGCCCCCAAATCCAGGGTGCATAAGGTACTCAGATGTGCCTTGTGCAGCCCACCACGTATACCTCCCTCCTCGTATATCAGGACATCCTCGCCCCCACTCCATACGAACCGCTCTCCTTCGGCTCACCTACAGAAACAGCAGAGAGGGGCGCGCTACACGTACCCAAACCACACCCACACCATACCCGCAAACCGCCTCCCTTAACGCTGGCATCTTCTCCGGCACGAGACCCTCCCAGCCCATACACCCTCAGAGCTTTCCAAGACTGAGATAAAGTGGGGCAAGAGATGCCTAGAAGGAAGGAGAGGAGTCTTCACTGAAGGCCCCTCCCTTCAGTACATTGGGGCGTGGGAGTGGGGTGGCTGACCTGGTTAACCTGTTCCATTAGAAAGGCCTAGGATGACCCCTGGTCAGGGGTCTGACCCCTGAGCAGGGTTGCAAGGAGGGGTGGGGTGTGGCCAGGGAAGAAGAATGAGGGCAGCTAGTCTGTCGTGTCAGGGTGAGGCACACACTCCTGGGGACAGAAAATTCCATCTCCCAACTTGAGGGGCAGGAGCAAGGGGTGGGGAGTTGCAGCTCCCCTCACCTGCCTTATCTTACCTGCCCAAAGGGGTAGTTGAGGCCGCAAAGGACCCATTTCTTGCCCGAGCCTATGCCTGAGCTCAGAGGGTAGGGACAGTTAGGCTGCGCTTAGCAGCTGCCCGTATAGCCCTCCTCCAGGCTGACCGCAGCAAGAGGGACCTGGATAGCCCTTGGAAGGAGGCCTGGGTGGTCAGACTCTGGCCTAGAAACTGGAGAATCTGAGGCAACTGGGCAGAGTGGTGCAGCAGGAAGGGCTGGAGATTTGGATTTTAGAGTACAGGCAGACCTGGGTTCAAAACCCAGCTCTCCTGTTTCCTAGCCTGTGACCTTGGGTGGGTGGTTTGGCTTCTCTGTGCCTCGTCATCATACCCACCTCATGAGACAGTTAGGAACATTGAATCGGTTAAACCATGTAAGGTATGTGCTGGGATCATAGGAAAAAAAAAAACCCATGGTGGTCGAGTCGATCCCGACTCACAGTGACCCTATAAGACAGAGTAGAACTGCCCCATAGGGTTTCCGAAGAGAGGCTGGTGTATTTGAACAGCCAACCTTTGTGATTAGCAGCTGAGCTCTTAACCACAGCACCACCAGGGCTCCGGGATCATAGTAAGTGCTCAAAAATGGTAGTTACTATTTTCAGGGGTGCAGCAAGGATAATGAGCTCCCAGGGGCAATCTCTAAATTGTGCCCCCCCCACCCAATTTCCAGATGAATCGACGTTGATAGCAGTGACGCTGTCAGCAGAAATGCTTTCCTCCTCTTGTCCAGCTGCCTCAGTCAGGCGCCCTTCATATTTGTGGCACCTCACAATGTCATCCTGCGCCTCATCTGGTGCCCCCTTGGACTCACCTCTGAGGCAAGTGCCCTCCTCTGCTCCCCCTTGCTACGCCTCTGTTTTTATTAATATGAAGTTTAGATAAAATATAGGAACAAATATGAAAGCACTGAACGGTGTTTGCGCATAGTGGCGGCTGAACACACTTGGGGAAATCCTCCAGCCCCATTCAGGTGTCTGGAAGGGAGAAGCTGGGCTCCCACAAGACTAGAAGAGGGTGGGGAAGCTAAGGGGGCAAAGAAACAGATCCCACGTGTGGGGATGCTGGACCTTTAGCTGCCAGTTTGGCCTGGGCCCTGGACTGGTTTCTGGGATAGGGCTGCAGGGGCCTGGGTGGTCTGAAGGTAGTGAGGTGCAGAAGCTCATTAAGGGGTAGAGCATCCAGCAAGTTGTGAGGGAGCTTGGATTCTGCATTTCTCCCCTTAGCACACTGGTCCTGGGCCTGTTGCGGAGGGAGTCCTTCCATCCAACACTTATTTATTCTTCAGATATTTACTGGGCATCTACTATGTGCCAGGCACTGGACTGGGCACTAGGGATACTGTGATAAACTTCAAAGGGCTTGAAGTCTCACAGGGGCACAGACGATATTTAAATAATCATATAAAGAAATGTATATAATTACAAGTCGAGGTAAATGTTACAAAACATAGAGCGTTGTAAGAGAGAAACCATCACTCTAGGGAGCTGAGCCTTGGACAGGGTTAAACCAAACCCGTTGCTGTCAAGTCAATTCCAGCTCATAGTGACCCTGTAGGACAGAGTAGAACTGCCCCATAGTGTTTCCAAGGAGCGGCTGGTGGATTCGGACTGCCAACCTTTTGAATTCTTCACCGCTGCACCACCAGGGCTCCTGGGCAGGGTTGGGGGCCTCTAATCAGTCATCTGATGCCCAGTAGGGGGAGCCGGTGGGGGGGGGGTGGGCATTACCATCCGGGTCTCTTTAACCTGTGGCGTCTGACCCTCCTCCTTCTCTCTCTCCTGCTCTCCTTCGTTCATTTATTCAGTATACATTTACTGGTCCTCCCATGTGCTGGTCCCATTGTAAGGGGCTGGGGATGTGGAGATGAACCAGCCACAGCCTCCACTCTCTGGGGGTGTGCACAGCTCAGAGGAAGATACTGATACATAAACCAACTAATATACTGTAGGAAACACTGGTGGCGCGGTGGTTAAGAGCTCAGCTGCTAACCATAAACGTCGGCAGTTTGAAGCCACCAGGCGCTCCTTGGAAACCCTATGGGGCAGTTCTACTCTGTCCTGTTGGGTCGTTTTGAGTGGACCTGCCATTGACTTGATGGCAACAGGTTGGGTTTTTTTTAATATAGCATAGTGGAGCCCCAGTGGTGCAGTGGTTAAGAGTTATGGCTGCTAACCAGAAGGTCAGCAGTTCGAATCCACCAGCCGCCCCTTGGAAACCCTATGGAGTACTTCTACTCTGTCCTGTAGGGTCACTGTGAGTCGGAATCGACTCGACGGCAACAGGTATTTTTGGGTTTAATACGGTGCAATGCAGTAAGTGCTACAGCTAGGTAGGCACCAGGTGCTGTAAGGAAGGGACCCAGGCTGGGAATTCTGTCAAAGAAGGCTGCCTGAAGACATAACTCTTGAATGAAGCCTTGGAAGTCATTTTGGAGTTAGCAAGAGAAGGAAGGAGAGGGGAACAGTGTGTGCAGTGGTCTTGAGGCAGGTAAGAGCAGGACAGGTCTGCACACAGGTGTGCAGACTCAGAGAATGAGGAAGGAGCAGGGTCATGGACATGTGATACTGGCCAAGCCTTCCTTTCTCCATAACGCATCC